TTTTTCTGACACAAAATTCAATTGTTTCGCATTTTACATCCAGTCTACAGCTTATTTAACATAATATCATCTTACCTCGCCTAGTGCAAAGCTTGGTTTGGGGTAGACGAGCGGCTCTAAGTTCGAGGCGCCGAGTTCCTTTTGATATATCAAACCATGCTCAATAATATATCGCCATATAAAGCATTGATTGGCTTTGGACTTCGATAAGAAGTAGTCATTCACTTCTTAAATTTAATTTATCATCGTGGAAGGAACTGTCAAGGAGATAGACAAAACATGGGTTTGTTTACTCTCTTTTTCCTTGTTAAATCTAGATGTCAGTCTTTTTCCAATGGGCGTGAACATACTGGTCTGACCAGACAACAGGCTTATGTTAAATTTGTCTTTACGCATCAGCTACGCTCTATGATATTTCGTATTTCGCCATATAATGTGCATTGATGGCTTTGGACCCGACCATATTTGAGGGGATAGATCACTGCTTGTTTGGCTACCTTCTTGGGAAAGAATACTAAATAACTAACCAGTTGAGTTAATTTTTCAAAGCCACTGTTTCCAAAATGCAAGTACCGTATTTGACTGATGTAGGTATACCGACTCGCACTCGAGTCTGCTGTATCAGCTGGTGCAATGATTACTCGAAGCGTATCTTGAGTTCTGAGAGACGCAGAAATGGTTTCATTTCCAGGTGTGAGTTTTTTTTTTTGTTTGGACCACTACCGGGAAAATATGAGTGTGAATAATGTGAACGTGTGCTACCTGGGTCGTAGTCTTACTACTGGCACGAGTAACTTACAAGGCACAGTAGCCTCTGGAGAAGAAACTGTACAGTACAGCTTTACAACTTTATTTACTATTTGACAAGTATTTGACAGTACAGATATAAAGCTATTGAACGTTGGCTAGTACAAAAATTTCAGAAAAAGTCGTGATTTTCCAGGTTTGACCCTAATAAAACTTCTTTTAAGTAAACAAATATTCAAACACCCACTTATCTCTGTTGCACATCTGCAGTGATGCATGATGGGCTATGCCCTTTGCAGATCTTTCGCTCTTTTTTGTTCTAAAATAGGCTTCATCCAACCAAATACCATGAAACATTAAATTATGATACATTGAATCATGATTAGAGTTAGATAATTGTTTGCTCCTGTTTCGTGTACTGGGTAGCACTCAACCTAAGTTCCTGTAGCCACGTGCTTCACAGTCCAATGTTTCATTTTTGCATTTTATTTCAGTAGACTTAATTTTTAATTAATTAGCGTTATTCCGCACACGTGAAACATGTTTCTGAACTAGTTACATTCCGCTTACATTTGGTTCACAGTTCGGTTGTGAAGTATTTCAACGAAATAGAAATAGAGAAACCCCGTGATACGCTTTGTAAACAATCATTATCAGGAGGTGTTGACTATCCTGCCAAGTTGTTTATCTACTATTGAGGGAGCAATGCAACAATTTTAGGACTGCAATCGTCTTTTGTGATATTTCAATATGGACAGTAGGATGATATTATGTTAAATAAGCTGTAGACTGGATGTAAAATGCGAAACAATTGAGTTTGCGTGTGAATGTGTACATTTTCGAATAACTGACGGTACCGTCAAATCAGCTCATTTTATCCAACTTTAAGGAAGCCAACACCCTCTTAGTTTTAATCTTTTTTTTATTTGATGTTAATTTAATCTTCTCAAGAATAAAGGTGAATAAAGTTGTTGTTGAAGGAGATTTCATAAATTCGGGAGTATGAAGTTAACCAAGTTTCATTTTTAAATAGACTACCACCCCTAGTCTACAGGGATCATTTTATTTCATAGAAACTACGATACAGAGCTTTTGATCGCTTCTCATATATAAGCTCTGCTGAAACACCCTCTCAGGATCAGAGCTCAGTTGTCTTCTCGTTTGGACAAGTTAATTCCATAATCTATTCTTATTCTAGTATCAGAAAAATCATTCAGCCAAGCACTTGTCGTATGAACGGCACATTGCATAATCATAGGGAATAAATCTTTATTAAAACCCTAAACGTCTTAGGTTTAACGAAGGATACAGACCTTACCTGTATAGTTCATGAGGTCTCTCATTTTCGGCTGACAGATTCAAGCGCTTGTATTTCCTTATTAGGCCTCTTGATAAAGAAGGAAGGAGAACTAAATGAGTTCACTTTTACAAAGATAAGTTTTTTCAACTTGAACCACCCGAAAGCCCTTTTATTACGTCTGGATTTAAAGGCCTTTTAGTGGTAGTTCTAGTCATACTGAATGGCAACAAATTTTTTCTGTGGCCTTCCGTGTTGCTCGTCAGTTGTTATCGTTCTGAGATTCTGCTCTCCTTGAGCTTAATACCTGCCTGCATCATCAGCAGTTGACGAGAATGATGTTTGAAACGAAATGCGCTCTCTCAATCACAAAGATGAAGGTTTAGTCCAAACAATTCCATCTTTAAAACATTATTTAAAAAGACTAAATTTCTGGGAGACTTGGTCACACGGACACAAAAACAGACAATGTGAAAAATCATGATTTACTTTCTTCATCCGCTTTCCTCTCCAAGCTTACTTTACGAATGTATCTAACTTAGAAAGAAAGCCCCAATTTATCGTTATTTTCAATTTGCATCGGGATCATTTTCCTTAAACATATTCGTTTGATGACGCTTGATTAACGCCTTATAAAATTATCTCGCATGGAAATCTTTCCGTGTCCTAAATTTATGTTAATTTCTAATTAAACTTCATTCCAAATGCTGCTCTTTGAATAGAAAAGGGAAAAAAACGCTCACACACGCACATACACTTGTAATTTTTTTTTTTTTTTACAATTTTAGCAACACTCCACGTAACACTCCCAATCTTAGAATATTTGAATGCTGTCCTTCAGTAACATATTTGATGAAACAATATGTTGCCGTTGAGCGGCGAAAGCTCGGACTTCTACAATATTTTACAGTGATTCAAGGCCACATTAGTGTTTTTATTGTTGTTCCGACGTATTATGATGTAATCGCGTGCACTCATGCGCCGTTCGGTTAGTTACCATGTTTGTTGTGAACTTTTACCGTCGGTTTTTCCCTAAATAAAGGATAAAATGTTCTTCAAATTGCAATCCGGCTGAACAATTGTTTTACCCAATCTTAGAATTTCTCGTTAGCTGTTTAGCAACAAATTCACACCCCTCAAAATGAAAATGCTTCTACATGCAGTTCATGTGAATAGATGTTGAGGAACTTGAATTAATCTCAATCGCACTTTCAAAAGGAACAAATTTATCGCTCAGTCTTAGTGAAACTGCTTAGATAACCGTTCGATTTAATACAAATATTCTCAAATATGGTATTTTTTCTTAGTTTAGCCGCCCATTTTCTCCTTTCTCGGCATGGATTCAAATTCACCTTTCTTAAACCTACAGATAGAAGCTTGGGATACTACAGGTACTAGAAGTCATTGCAATTGCTATCCTCACCGGCGGAATGAGTTCCGGCGTCGTTTATGAATTTGGGCTCGAAACTTACTAAAGAAAGTTGTTTATAATAGTTTTGACAGTAAAAACTTTAGGCACCTTCAGATAGTAGAAGTATTGACCGATGTGCTCCGCAGTCTTTGAGAGGAAAGCAATGCCAAAATCTTTACGCACACAGCAGTTACCGGTATATCGTGACTTCACCGCAACTGTTTCACAAAGCGGTGATAAAAGACAAACCGTGATATAGCATCCCTAAAGTTATGCAGAGCATAAGATCCTTAACTACTTCATTCAAATTATGATAATTTTTAAAGTTGCATTGTAATTGAAATCGTACCAGTTTTTGAATCAGTTGTTAATTGGAAAAAAATTGTAATTTGTGGAAAGTATTGTAGAAGACATACCGGGGAAAAACCGATAAACATGGGACGCCATTTCTGCCTTATGACACTATGTGTGTTTTTAGAAGTATGTGGTAGTTTTATCGTTATGTATTGTCTCTTAACTTGGTTTACCAGAAACCCTGAGTGATCCCATCATTTTATCATACTCGGTGTTTATTCAGCTCTGTGCGGTGGTTTTCCATTGTGCATATTGATTTTATCACTTATAGTACCACATTAACTAAACATGAAAACGTATGAGACTGTGAATAGACCCTTAGGTTGTGACCTTTTCAAGAAAGATGGTTCTTGTTTTGAACTCGCGAGTGTAATGCATAGCTTGAAGATATCGAGCAGTTATCCTAGTGTCATTTTCCCTGGGTATTATCGTAAGGCTTTGAGAGTCGACCTGCGGTGGCTTCGGTAGACCTCATGAGTATGGCTGTGTACCGTGAACTGACCACAAGAGCATAGGGTGAATTTCATCTGAATCTGCATGATTAACTTTTTAAAACTATCCATCGTTCATTTCTTTTTGATGTTGAGAAATCGTTTACTTCTAGCACTCCTAAATATAAAGCAGAAAAAAACATCTGTCTTAACATCGTAGTCCTCTAAAGAACCTGCATGGCATGACATGGGGTTGACGATTAAAGGTACCAAAATTAAAACAAATTTTAACCACGTTAAATTAGTCTTGAAATCTTGCTCCTTTTGACGCTCGCAATAATTGAATGGCCCGTAATTGAAAGCCGTATGGCTACATGCGGCAGTAAAACACATAGACACGTAACTAACGGACAGATGGTACATGAGATTGCAAAGAACTCTTTATTAACTTGCCTTCTTAGTGGAAGTATCTAGTTCGAGTCTAATATCTAGAGTCACTGGCTTTCGTTTATTGACAGTTCACAACATGAAATGTTTCGAAGATCATAATAAAGGTACAAAGGCACTATAACAGTTTCCTTGCCCGCCACCTTTGTACATTTGAGCCTTCTTCGGACAGATTTTCGGAACCTTTGTCTTCGTTCCGTTCCGTTTCTCCGTAGGAATGACTCCAGGTATCGTCCAAACTGATTGAAATATTTTTTATTGATAGGAATTGTTTTGTCTTTACCTCTATTGTAATTACATGAGTGTATTTTCCAACTTTCTCGAATCATTTCTTAGAGATCATCTCGCAAAATTATCTTTTTGTGCACATCTGATGCTGAGATAAGTCTCTTAATTTCCCATGAGAGTCAGCGACTGTTGATGATTACAAGTGCTACGAGCACGAGTCCCGGCGGGTTAAATACTGCAAAACATGAGTTAGGTACAGTTATACCACAATCTTATCACAGTTGAAATCGCTGATTTTTTCTAACTAAAACGGGTTGTAGTTGAAAGAAACTGTGCAACTCTCAACTTATAAATTTTATGGAGAAAATATTAAACAAAAATTGTAAAATTAAAATTAGAGAAGATTGATGCAAAACGTGCTCTTTGAATGTATCAACTTGTGTTGATTCAGTTAGAGAAATCTGAAAAGAAAAGGAAATGGAACGAAACCCGGCCAAACAGTAAAACGAAAGCAGTTAGGAAAAGACAAGAGAGTCGTTTTGATTGAAAAATTCTTCCTGAGAATAACATCAAGCAACATTAAGATAAGGCAAAAACAAGCATAACAGCTCAGAAATATTTGATTAATTGTAGTGTTTTTCTCCCCAATTCAGGAGGACTTTTTGCAAAAGATCGATTTTAAGTAGCTTGGACTGGACTCACGGCGTCTCCGGACTTCCTCTTGTATGGTCAGCTTCTTCTCTAAGCTTCTGAAGAGGAATACTGACAGCCAATGAGCTACCTCTTGATAAGCGTGTCATGCGAGTGGTGCTTCGGCTGTATACAATAGTGTTCTTGTAACGCTCTTTTCGGCTTGGTCCCCTGCAGAGGATTCGATAAAATTCGTGACGGTAATTCTCCGAGAAGATCACATAAATAATTGGATTGACGGCACTGTTACAGTAACCAAACCAGGGAATGACATACCAAACTGCCATTGGAACTGTAAATTTCGTTAGTATTTCAGGATTGATAAACCTTATGATTTCCAAGGCTTGAAATGGAAACCATGAAAGAGCAAAAACAATGACCACTGTTATTAGCATAACTGTGGCACGTCTGCTGGACGCTTGGGCTTTCTTGTGCGACATTAATGTGCGATGACCAGGGAGTTTCCTGCTCCAAAGGCGCATCCCCGCTAAGAAGTAAACTATCGCGATAATCGATATTGGAATAAGGTAGGAGGTTGTGATTAAAAACCCTGTGTACGTTTTATGTGATGTGGGTGGCCAATCCTCGTCGCAGATCATATTTCCCGTTCCTTCATCTCTGATGTTCTTGACAACTAGCATTATTGGAATAGACAAACCCAGTGCGCCGAGCCAAATCGCAGTTATTGCAAAACGCACAACGTTCTTAGTCATTATTGTCCTCATTGGGAACAAAATAGCGAAACTGCGATCTAAAGAAATCGCCACCAAACTTAACACTGATGCAGCCAGGGAACCAACTTGAGCTGAGTGAAAGAACTTGCACAGGGCGGGGCCCATGAAAGTACCGAACCAGCCATTCCACACGTACACCCATTTGAGTATGTAAGGAATGTCAATGGTCATGAGAAGATCTGCAAGAGCCATGTTGGCAATGAGAGTGTTTGTGGAGCTCTTCATCTGGTTGACTGTACATACGATGTAGATCACCAGCGAGTTACCGATTGCTGCCAGGATAAAAACAGTGACTGCGAGTACTGTGACTCCAATCTGAATGTCGCGCGTCGGGATTTGGGTTCCCCCACCAGATGGCAAGAGGGTGTCATTTTGTGATGTGTTAGAAGCCATGGAAAATGCTGTACAATAAAGAGAAAGGTCAGTAATATAAAAAATTTACGTATGATACACGATCCTTCGCAGTAGATAGCGCTATTTATGCAATAGCGAAAATCAGACCAAAAAAAAAAAAAAAAAATTAGGCCTGTATGGGATTCGAACCACTGATCTCTGCGATACTAGTGCAGCGCTCTACCAATTGAGCTAACAAGCGAAGGGTCGTGCATCATAACTGCGAAGGATCGTGCATCATACGTATTTAATACCGCAGTTCAAATATATGAACTTCATATATTCATTGTATATAAAAAACTGATTTAGTAACACAGAAAACCTTGTTATCATTTTAGCATAACTTGACCCTTAGGACAACTTGATATAAATTTCTGTAAATATCGATCATCAGATTCTGAATACATCTGTTGACTACGTCGAAATTTGATATGACTTTCTTCACCGAGTGGTCAGTTGAACTGAGCTTCACGGAGACTAGAATAGTTGTTGAACTTGATCTTGTGCAGATGTTAAACTAGGTTTTACAATGAAGTAGTCTTTACGAGCCAAGAAGGAAGGCGAAATTCTGCTACCCATCCAAAACGTTCGAGTTACAATCAGGGTCAAGTTCAAATAAATCAAGAAAAACTTTCCTCAAGATATTTCTTTCGCACTTGACCGATATCGAAATGAGGAAAAAAAAAATTGTTGAGGAAAAAAAGATAAAAGAATGATTCTTATTCCGGAATGTTTTTTGCCGTAGATTATATTTCGATCACAGAATCGGACTCAAATTGTAATCCACCTGCTTGTTGAGGAAAAAGAAAAAAAGAGAAAAAAATCTATGTGTGAATAATAATTTTTTATCCTTTTTGTCATACCAACTTTGATTTAAACATGGTTTATCAAAACTCAAACTCTTATATGTTACATAACAGCAAGACTAACATAACGAGGCCAAGCTTCTCCAGAGAAAATTTCCCTCAGGTTGTGTCCTAAAAAAATCTGACAAGTTTTAAATGAAAGTGGAAAATATGTCTCTGAGAATATCTGACGAGGTTCATTTCTCGATTTATTACGTCCAATTTTAAACCACTGGCCGGATCTGATTAATTTTCAACTGTGTGATTTATTCACGAATCTCATTTTTTTTCGTCAAAATGCCGTCCTTTTTCCCAGCCTATGAGAAAGCAACACTAAAAGAAAACATCCATTTATATTTCAAGGCTTATTTAAAGTAACCAATCGAACTGCAGATTTTGCCCCAGTTCAGTAGTGGAACAATATAGTATTTGCACTGATTACAATCTTGTGTTTGGGAGATTTAATTTTGCGATTTCAAAATGGATTAGTGCAGTTCGGTCTAAAATCATACTTTTCATTTTAGAGCAAATTGCACTCCAATCGGTTCAATTAAAATTGTAATCAACCAGTTTAGAGAATTATCAAAAGATTTTTAAATAAATACCGACGAAAAATATTTCCCAAAGTGTTCATGTTGATGAAAGTTTAATGACAACGGTCCTCTTTCATGCTTTCCGTGAGCCTGTAGTAATCTTTTATGATTCAGAAGGTACTGATAATGACTCTAGCAGTAAGCTGAGCACTCCATATTCAACCTGATAAAATAGAGATTTCCAGAAATGATCTTTGAGTGGAGTCTAAAGATATGTGAATCTGAGTAAAAACAAATTAGGGAGGACGGATAAAATAACAACGAAAACGCCAGGATGGAAGAAAATCTTTGGCTTTGGTTGAGACGAAAACGGATCATTCTCATCCAACACTCGGTTCTCTGCTTGATTGATTCTCTCAGACGAATGGCTAGTGCTCGAAACGTCAGCTTTAAAAACTCTCTTCGCTCGCCAATTTACATTATCAACTCAGTTGATTAAACAAAATAATTTTGGATGATACCTTTTCCGACGCAGTGTCACAGTTTCTTTGGACACTTATCCCCTTTATTTATGCTTCATTTCTTCTTTTTTACCTGATGCTTGAAAAGTCGGAACTTCCTTAAGCCCAAACCCCAGAAAGGTCTGGATTCACATGGGTAACATCACACCAAAGATGTAGCGGTATATAGAGGGTAAACGATTCATGGTACGTAGTTAGCATTACACTGACATGTCAACAGAGACCTAATGAATCAAAGTTTTTTTTGTTCGTTTGACAAAAGTTTTGCTTGAAACTATCTATCGAACATACCTTTAGATTTTCAAATTTCTTTTTTATCAAGTCTTCTTTTTTCCTTTCTAGGCTGGTCAGAGAGCAGCGCTTGTTTTTCTCTCAAAATACTCCCAATGGAGATAGGACAATAGTAAGACTAATCATCTACTGATCGAGCATTTCATCAGTAATACTGGCAGACGAATGAATATGCATTTTGTCTTTCATTTGTTTCAAGTTTCCGATGTGTAATTCGCAAATAGCGCAGCAATTTAAAAGATAAAAAGAAAATCGCTTCGTTTCCATGGTAGAAGACGGCAGTTAGAATCTCATTGATAAAAAGCTGAGCCCTTCAGCCCTCGATTCACGCACGTATAGATTCCTGAATAGTATCGGCTGTAATGTCGCCGCCACAATTCGGTATCTATGTATGCAAGAACGCTCTGTTAATCTTAGCATTCTGCATGCATAGATATAGAAACCTCTGGCCTCAATGCTTCGAGGGAATGCATTACGATTTGAAATGCCAAAAACAAGACGATTTGTGTAACATCAATTATCCAAACAACGCAAGTTAGTAGACGCCAAAAGAAGTCTCGTACTTTGAAAAAGGAAATTTTTTTAATGATGTTAGATAAAGTACTGAAGAAGAAAAATGATTTGCGTTCTTCAGAATAAGCTTGTTTGAAATATTAATTAGTGAGCGATCAATTTAAAGCAAACAGTAACAATTTGCTTCTCTTCATAGCATTGATCGTGAGGTGTAATGTACATGAGAAACTTACACAAACGCGATGCTTTAGAAAAGATTAAAATCGTTGAAACGTAACTTTCCCAAAAAGGGAGATTTAGTGAGAAAAATTGTGCGTCAATTGCCGACGCAATTTATCGGGAACAGCCGCGTGTTTACTCTTAAAACTTATCACATAGTATCTTCTAGAATATATATAAATATGGAAAAAGCTTCTGCGGTTTGTTAAAATCTGACAAGTGACGGGCTAGAATGCTCTTAAGTCCGAAATAATCGTTTTCCCGCAAAGGCCGAGAGCCCGAATACAATTTGGAATTAGTCAATTCACCCTTGGGCTTTCGAAATTTCTAATGAGCTGTTGGTAGTGTACAGTGGAATTAATTTTGACAAGGCTATGACAAAATTTTAAAATTAATTCTGAATTCCCACATCACTCATTAAATGTGGTGAATCAGATAAATAGGCGATGTAGACAAACTGCTAGATATCACTTAAAAGCTTTTAAGGCCGCAGCAACCTTTACTGTCGCTTCTTGTGATCTTCAAATGTATTTTCAGGCTCCAATGTTTGATTGGTTATAAAAAGTATTAAACCGTTTTCACATCGAAAAAAGTAATTCTCCCCTTGAAAAAACCTTGTGTCTCTCACGCAAAACAGTGCAATAGGTACCTTCAACGAAGCCCTTCACTGTTAAGTTAAGAAAACGACTTTTTAATTTATCTGTGCCGCAAAATCTTCATTTTTCCTGCAAGAATTGATTTCGGTTAGAAATAGTAATGTTTGATGATGAGGCGCATACAGCATGTCTAATGGGATCACCGTATAAATCCAGCCACAACGACCATTTTATATATGTCGACCAAAACGTATTAGGATTTTCAGGTAGGTTAGGAATTTGTGTCCAAGCTTTTAACAAAGCTGAAGTGTTTAGATTATATGCACTAATTTTAGACTCTGCAGGGTTTTACATAATAATAACCGAATTCAGTCGGCCCGAATGTTTCCCGCATGACGTCACGTTTCCATAGAAACGCATTGACGGCCATCTTGAAGGTCAACCTCTCGCGGAAAACATAAGAACCGAAGGGCTGACGTAAAAATGGTCAATTTTTTCTCTGTTGTCGCTTGTTCCAACCGCTAAAATCGCGACAAGAAGGGATATTATTGTTTCCCAAGTGTTATCGTCCATCAAGGAGAAAAAGCGCTCGATCTTTCGTCTAAAAGACGCAAATTGAAATCCTAAGTAGTCCTGATTAAAGCACTGAAGGCTTTCTTAATGTTAAGTCTTGCCATTCAGTGCTTATCTGTTGTTAAAAGTGAGTAATGTTTCATTTGTGGCTTTCCTGAAATTGTAGTTTCTAGTATTGTAAACCAGAATAGTTTGCATGCAAACTGTATCTCTGGAGTAAGTTTGACTTTTAAGGTTGTTTGAGATAGATGTAAACATTGAAATTACCAGTTCATCAGAGCATACCCATTGAAGCACTGAAAGCTTTCTCGATGGCACATCGAAGGTTGGCAGCTGGAAAAATGGCACATCTTGCTAGTCAGTGCTTCTCTGGTGTTCGGAAGTGAGTAATGTTTCATTTGTGGCTTTCCCGAAATTGAACTTTCTTGTATGGGAAACCAGAATAGTTTGCACGCAAACTTTTCCACAGGAATAAGTTTGACTTTTAAGGTTAATTGAGATAGATAAACCTTGAATTTACTAGTTAATTGGAGCATATACCCATGGAAGCATTGCAGTGTCGTGGGGACTTGTATACAAGTCAATGCATATTGGAATTAAAAATTTATATAGCTTTGGCAGGGAGTGAGCCCTGCCACTCTTGTGTCTGGTTTATTTCATTTTCAGGAGCAGAATTTTTTGTACCAGAAAATTACCTGTTTTGTTTTGTTTTCTATTTGGGGTTGTGTTTCCATGCATTTCCCATAAATATCAATGCACTGATTGTGTACTTTACTGAAAAATTTAATTATTGGGAGTGGATGAATCATTATTGTTATTGGGAGCAGTATTGATGAGTGTGACTACTATTTTTTAGGGACTGTGTAATTTGGGCACCAGCAAATGGTGGTGTAACCCAGTGTTTTCTTAGAGGCAACACACAGGCTGCCAAAAAAAAAAAAAAAAAACCAACTAGAAGTGCTCCTTGAGCTGTTGCAGAAGGGCTGCTCTTAATGTGACACACATGAGTGCAGTGTAGCCCTATTTTCTAGGTAATTATTGTAAGGGTCCAAGGATTTTTTCCCTGAACCTCTTGGTGGGTTATTTTGGGCTGTTGTGTAACCCAATGCTTCCATATAGACCTGATATATTAAGGGTCTACCCATCAGTGTAGTGCACCTGAGTGATTTCCTAGAGCTGGCTCATCACTTATAGTGAAGTATCTGGTCTAAAAACATTAATATCAAATTTCTTTTGATGTTCCATCCAATTTTTCCAACCTTTGAACAAAAGAAATCATCGTTTCAAGAGCCAACCATGTGGTAATTAAAGCAATGAGAAAAATCACTATATGAGTTAACGTCGCTGTATCAAGGAAACCCAGTTCTGTTGAAAATATACCCATTTCGAGAGAGTAAAACCATCAAACATTTTTGGATTGTAGGTTGTCAAAGCACTTTAAACTTACCATTGATCTTCTAAAGGATTTGCAGCCACTCAGCAAGCATTATTGGGAAGCAATACAAAGTACCTTTTGGCTAGAATTCATGGTCTAAAATTTCGTCTGCAAAATCTTAAGAGACGAAATTTTTTTTAAACTGTCTTCATATACATCCTAATTTTTTGTCCAGTGAATTTAGGACTAGATAGTTCACGAGGTCCACGTTAGTTATTGGTGGAAAATCGCTAACATTTGACGATCATTCCTTATTTGCGATCTCAAACGGATCAATATTGTCTATATAAGCTATTTTTTGCAAATATTTCTCTTTATCGAGTGGATCGAGCGTTGAAAAGTAAGTTTTTTTCGCAGACATGATCAGAATCGCTTGTTAACATTGGAAGACCTGACCTTCAAGATGGCGGCCAACAGGGTTGCTACGGGATACGTGACATCAGCGGGAAACCTCTATTGATGGAGATTTAATCATTTACAAATAAGTTCAGAAGCACTGAAAAACTTGAAGTTAGCTTGTCAACTAGATTTTACATCAAAAGTAAGTTGCCAAAACAGGAATTAGAAAAATATATATTTCACCTAATTTTTAAGTGAGCTAGCTTCTCGTACTAGACGCTCGGACGCTACCTTGTCTATGCTACAATTTACCTTTAATAGCTCAGTCCATCCCCGCTCCTATCCTTTCCCTTTCTCCCCTTCGTGATCGAACCTTTCAGCACATTCACGGAAGGTCGGGGCTCAAGTCCGATAACTATGTAATTTAGCCGACAGGTGCAAGCGAAAAAAGAATTACCTTTCTCTGCAAAACGTCCTCCCGGGTAAAGCAGGTGATAGGGAGCGAGAGCTTTTCTCTAAGGATAAACAAAGTTACTCTTGCAGAAAAAATCACCCTTCTAGATGATATTTTAAGCTTCTCGCAATTCTAATATTTTTTTATCCTCCCGCGATATAAAGCTTTCGTCCTTGAAAGTGTTCATCACAGAATTAGCAAGTTTCAGTTAACAGGGGGCGTTATTCACTTTTATCATCCGTTTACACGCGTCATCACGTTTGTTTTTACTTCTTTTGCAGGGTCAGTAAAGTTAGTTTAAGTCAGTAAAGGAAGGATAATACCTTTACAAAGAGACCCTTACACGTTCTAAATTTACATTGAAGACTGTTTTCCCTACTTTCCAATGATTAAGTTTTGATTAATTGAGAGACTTTTATTCAGGCGTCGTCTGTCAGTGTTAATGAATTTATAAAAAGCATAATTTTAACTATTCCTCTTCTATCATTTCAGTTAGTTCGAAGTTTAGACTGCGTGACTAGCAAATCATTTCTCTCTCTCATAATATCGGAGAGATATGAGGAAGGTAACTTCACCGGTAATTTAGACGAAATCAATGGGGAGAGCAGGCCTTTCTTAAAACACACCTATCGTAGTCCAGAAAAATAAACAACGTCTGATTAATATGATTGGGGTTTCATATGAGAAACAGCCGATATGAGTAAGACCTTAGTAAATTCGTTTTCCCAATTTTAGCGACGATGTAGTCCTCGTTCTGTACTTTTTTTGATGAAATTCCTCGTTCAGTGAAACAAAGAACCGTATAAATGCATGTTTTTCTCCTAGCGGTATTTTCGGACTATTTACGCTATTTACATTATTGTACATTGCATAAGGCGTAAACGAAACAAAGAAAAGTGAAATTGATCTCAAAACCTACTTTTTCGGTTTTAGGTGTTGATTCAACCCCCTACTCAGACCGGTGCTTTTCTCTCCAACACGAAATTTCTCCCGTTTGATCGTCCAACAGAAGGAAAGTGCTTGATTTCAATTCTCAAATAAACCGGCGGAAGCTCTTTGATGATAACTGTCCTGTTAATCAGTGAGCGACTCCGTATGATTGATTACGCGATTCTTTAATCCAAACACCTTTCGATAAAACGACGTTGAAGTCAATGAAAAACAAGTACACCTGCTAGGTGAAAAAAAAGCCATTGTAAAATCTAATAATTTTGAGTCTTGAAAAATAAAACACTCCCTAGGGTGTCTCTTTACTGTGATCAAAACCAACAAGTCAACACACGATATTAAATAATGCGCCAATAACCGTCTGGAGTTACAAATGCATTGTTGATTATTTAAAATTACCAATGAAAGATCGATGAGATGTTCCAGGGTCAGATGCTGTCATTATTATTTGATTAATTTGCATTCACTTTGAGACTAGTTTTTCATTTTGCTGGTATTTACAAGTCGACTCAAAAGTTTGCTTCATACAGAGGAAACACTTTTTGAAGAAAGTGACGTTTGATTTCATAATGATCCCTTCACTGAAGATCGACGAGAAAATATGTAAGAGTTCGACTGGCTTATAACAGGACATCAGTGATAACGCAATATTCCTAATGACTCAAGCCTCATCCCCAACTGTGCTAACAAGACCCGCGCTTTCACTTACACTCTTGATACCAGCATAATGTTCTTGCCCGCGTTTTTCACATGATCACGATCACGAGCAAGATCACGATTCAAAACGACCACGAACAAATTCAGAAAACTTAGTGTTTAGAATCAGCCGATACAAGCATCACAGGAAAATCATACGAGGGTGACTGAACCCTTCCCCTCACTCCCCCGCATAGAAAACAACCGTGACTACAAGTCAGAAATTAAAATTGATTCGAGCATCATGTGTTAGCCCAACAACTACTGCAGGTGATTGAGATCCCACAAAGAAAAAGAAAAAAACAAAAAAACAAACATACCTGAGGGGGCTAAGCATCATCGCAACTCCGCCACTAGAAGGCGTCATTGTCTCCTTCGAATGGGTTGCAGAATATTTTGCAAATCCACAGAATTTGTTCTGCTCTTTCTGAAGTACCCATTTCTAGCCTCTGCCAAATGACAAGTTGTTCATGTGTAAAATAAATTTTACAGACTGCCGAGTCGAAAGTCAACCTGTCAGATCCAAATTAAGAGAACTGAGATATAAACTTGATGAAGCGCGTTGAGTCTGAAATTTTATGTTTGACTCGCGATGGCGACGTTTGTATTTAGGATCGAATTCAACTGCCTTCAAAAAAAAAAAGAAGATATTTCACCCAGAATTGTAATTTTTTTTCTTATCTGCTTACTGAGACCATCACACGAAAGAAAAAATAAACCTCGTAAAATTAGCTGTCTTTTAGAAATTAAAAATGCTTTCTTCCTCTGCACATTGAATTCGTTCATAAATTTAATTCAAGTGAACTTGGGACGTCCTTAACAGCACTGAATGATCAACCTGCAAGTCAGTTTCTCAATTCCGTTGCCTTCCTTGTATCGTTATTTGTTGTAAGCTGAACTAGTTCAGTCATATCTATACTACATCATGCTAATTTTAAATTCAATCCTGTACACCTCCAGGAGAAAGATTTAAAAGAAGCAGAATACAAAATATGTTTTATGATAGTTACTGAACGAATTGAGACCCAATGATTTTCTTTTCAGAACAAAACGATGCCAGAAATGATTTTTCAAATTTAGTCGAGGATGAAGGACTTTGAGCAAAAAAAAAAAAAAGAGGAATTGTTTGTTTACTTGTACCAACTCCCACGCACGCAGTAGTGAACTACACATGTAAAGTTTATTGGAAGTGAAAGTTCATAACGAACTCTCCCAAATTATGTCAGGAAAGACGTGAAAACAGTGAGGGGTATATAAAATAGCAACAAAAATCTTATCAGTCAGGAAGGTGGAAAGTTTGATTACATGGCTTGAAACCCAGTTGCATAAATTTAACATTCAGTTGAACATCCTTCTTCTCAGAGAGAAACCTTTGCTTGATTTTTTTGCCAAGCAACAAAACTTTTTCTGAGCTTTTGCCAAAACTTTCCAGCGCAACTAAGCAATGAAACAGCCAAAAAAACTGATCATCGTATAGCTTGAAATATTGCCATAAGCGTTTTTCTCTTTCCACAGAAGATTGGAGTGTTTTGTAATAACTTATCTATAGTTTGATTTAAGATATCTTGATCCAGAAGTCTAACAGCAACGAAGGAAACTAACCAAAACTAAATGATTGGTAATTTTTGATATTTTGTTTATGTAAGAAATTTTCGTAAAGGTATGCAACGGAGTATTCCATAGCACTCAAAGGGGCGCAAACGCAGTACTGTCCGGAATTTATTTATCTTAAGTCTTACTGCACGTACAAAGAATACAAGGCCATCATAGCGATAAAATCAATATGAGCGCGGAAATATTGAGGAAAGAGATATCAAACAATACACTTGATTTCCTTTCATCCTCCATATAAACCCATTAGCACTGCGTTCATATACATAAGAATAAATGGATTTTCATACAAAGAATATTAATCACTCTTGTTCGTGATTCTTGATACCAAACAATCTGCATTCGTGAATTCTCAAATGATGCCGTCAGTCAAAAATCTAACGTTAAAAGTTAAGTTAAAGAAGGATGGAGCACATGGTTAATAATGATTTTAGTTCCAAAAATAGCTTTCAATTCCTTTTTCGTAAGGTCTTAGAGGACCGTGTTACATATGGCGTTTCTAAAAACTGAAAAACTCTTCGTTTAA